CCCAACAGTTGTAGCGCTAAGATAGCTTTGACCAAGTCCCATACTTTAACACAAACTCCCGACAGTTGTAGCGCTAAGATCGCTTTGACCAAGTCCCATACTTTAACACAAACTCCCAACAGTTGGAGCGCTAAGATCGCTTTGACCAAGTCCCATACTTTAACACAAACTCCCAACAGTTGGAGCGCTAAGATCGTTTTGACCAAGTCCCATACTTTAACACAAACTCCCAACAGTTGGAGCGCTAAGATCGCTTTGACCAAGTCCCATACTTTAACACAAACTCCCAACAGTTGTAGCGCTAAGATCGCTTTGACCAAGTCCCATACTTTAACACAAACTCCCAACAGTTGGAGCGCTAAGATCGCTTTGACCAAGTCCCATACTTTAACACAAACTCCCAACAGTTGTAGCGCTAAGATCGCTTTGACCAAGTCCCATACTTTAACACAAACTCCCAACAGTTGTAGCGCTAAGATCGCTTTGACCAAGTCCCATACTTTAACACAAACTCCCAACAGTTGTAGCGCTAAGATAGCTTTGACCAAGTCCCATACTTTAACACAAACTCCCGACAGTTGGAGCGCTAAGATCTATTCGGAGAATAGATAGCGGTAAGACCAAATTCGCCGTGACGAGTTGTACAGGGAAGGCGTACGGTTGCCTGCAGCTCTGAAGGTTGAGAATTCAAATAGGCCATTGTTTTATTTCATGTATATATTCTGCGATCTGAAACAAAGGACATCCTACTGCACATGCTAACATATATGAAGCTATATTAGAAAGGTAAATGTTCCATTTGAAAAATGCTGGCTGGAAATTAACAGTCGTTCAGTCTAGATGTTCAAACGCTTGGCGGATCTCAACGTGTTGGCCGAGCTATATTGTCAACAAAATTAACTGTTGACTTTTCGTTTAAACAAATAAAAATGCAAATACCTTTAACCGCAACCAAGAGGGTGTTGAAGGTTGCGTAACGTGTATTGTTTGGCCATGTCGTTGTTTCACGACATGCACCACAGACGACTTAGCTCTCACACGTCAGGCCATCAGGACCCAGTAATGCGTTTACTTTTTTGACATATACAAATAAACATATTCCAGAAATATGGAAATCATTTTGAAACTGGAGAGCGGTATGTTATTTTTCAATATATTTCACATGTTCTCATTTTACAGTGCAAGTAATTCAAATATCACATTGAGTACATATTGTGTTATCTGCCCATGTTGTGTTGTGTTGTGTTGTGTTGAACGGAACATAGCCTTGCTCCAAGGCTGTACTGAATGCTGAGCCCATGGATGTAAAGTATCTCTTCCCTTTAAAGAGGCAAGTCTAGATAAGCGGACTAAGGACTCCAGTCTGTTATTTGTTATTTTGTTAAGTGAGTGAGTGAGTGATTTAGTTTTACGCCGCACTCAGCAATATCCCAGCTATATGGCGACGGTCTGTAAATAATCGAGTCTGGACCAGACAATCCAGGGATCAACAGCATGAACATCGATCTGCGCAATTGGGATACGTTGACATGTGTCAACCAAGTCAGCGAAACTGACCACCCGATCCCGTTAGTCGCCTCTTACGACAAGCATAGTCGCCTTTTATGGCAAGCACATGGGTTGCTGAAGACCTATTCTACCCCAGATCTTCACGGGTTATTTTGTTAAGAAATTATCATTTAAAATATTAATGTTTACTTAAGAGACTTGTTATATGTCCTTGTTAATTTTGCCCTTGTATTGTGCTGTCTGGATAACTACAAACACGTTTACGTCAGTATGGGCACGAAACAATCAAGTAGCAGTAATGGAATACCAGTTTGGGTGAGAAGAAAATTTGGACAGGTGATAGTTATCTTAAGTTTACAAGTGTTTCAAGCATTCTTAACACGAACTAAGTGTTGTGGAATGAGACGGAGCTGAAAGGTACCACTATCTCGCCAACTAGCTGTCGGTCGACCTGAAGCCGACCAAGCTGTGATAACATGACTTTTGAGAAATAAGAATGATTCTTTGAAACTGGAAATGGGAGATTAGTTCCTCGTATGGCTGAACGACGGCGAATACGCTACATTGAGTAGAGAAACGCCCGGTCTGTGCTCGTGTAAAGACCCCGTGTAACGTCTTAAAGGGTTCCAGGTGTGGTGCCACTGGATTCATCTGAGTGTTTAGATTATATTAGGGGGACTTTGACCGGCCATGTGGAGAGTGAGCGTCAGTGAGTGAGGGTGAAATTTCACTTTGAACATTAGTCACTTTGTGAGTGAGTGAGTGAGTGGTAGGATTTGATTTAAGTGAGTCACTTCACAATGAACACTACTTGACGGCAAACACTTGGCACGTTTAGGGAAGACGGTGAGTGAGTGAGTGAGTGAGTGAGTGAGCGAGCGAGCGAGAGCGTGCGTTCGTTCGTTCGTTCGTTCGTTCGTGAGCGAGTGAGATACGAACTTTACATCCCGGGGGAGTCAGGTTACCCGTTTATCACATTTGTTAAATCACTGAACAGAACAACTATGTACATTCATTAATACCACCATGGACTCTGTCCAGTCTTCCATGTAAACCATCCCGCCATCCTATGTACTCTTTTAACTGTATATATGTGTTCCTCTTATGCCGAATATCCCGGCCTGAGAGTAATAAAAGTTCTGTTCTGTCACCTCTTTCAGAAATTGGGTCACATGACTTCATTGTTGCATGTTTCTAACGCCTTAAAACAACACAAAATACAATGCAGCAAAAGAATTAGAAGGACTCAGCGCATTCACAATACACCGGTAACATACACATAAAATGTATCTTGGAGTTTTCACATATTATTTTTTATTACAAACAGAGACCGACCCCAGTCTAGTGCCGCCTCGACTTTGTATTTAATCACGATTAACAGAACTGTTGTTATCCAAACCGACCCAGGTGCTGAACGAGTAGTTCTCCATCCCAAACACGCACATACCAGCCTCCGTATCACAGACCCAATCTCGTGTCGAAGATCACGATCTCCGGGGCAGATGGTCTTGGTTATGGCCCAAGCCAACATGGTTAACGCTGAACGAAAGTTGAATTCCAAAATTCTTCAGATAACGTCATTGAGAGTCGCTTACGTATTTCTTTCCTCCCTTCGCAAATTATTCATTTAACGAAACATTCCTTCAGACCGAACGTTCCATACGTATAACTGGCTGTTGGGGAGAACCGGTGGCAATAAATTTAAAAGAAGTACACTTGAAAAAATGTGGAATCTGACGAGTTATTCAGAAAATCGCGTCCTCTAATTAACTTATTTGTCACACTACCAAAACAATGCCTGATGTATTAGGGAAACTAAAATTTACCATATTTCACTTTTGTGACCCACAAAATGTCCTAAGGTGGCGTTTGATGTACTTCTTTTGCATACAGCATACTTTACACACACGTGTAGTGTGTGTGTAAATATATTGAAACCCTGTTACTCCAGACACTGCTGTTAGCAATATGATTGTCCAGATAAACGAGTGTAATAAGTAGCCTAAATTGTCCCTTTAAGCAAAAACAAAGAGCTGTTTTCATAGACGAACGGAACAGATATCGCCCAGATGTTCTGGTTTAGGGTTCAGCTTCTGTGTACAGACTATGCGGTAGCAATTTTTTTCTTACCTGTAAGCAAAACTATTAAAAAAGTATTTTGTAATAAAACCTTTTAACTGATATACAAATGTTTTCATAAACCAAAAAGATAAGGAAATTAGGATACTGTTGTTTTGAAAATGACATCAGATTAGTGATCACTTTGATATTTAATATCTGTATTTTGTATATCTATCTGCTACAAACAATGACGAAAGCATGTAAACAGTATGATTACCACTGTTCATTTCAATCCTGTGTGAATGGAGTTTCTCGCCAAGGGTGGTTATACCATTGTTTGTATAGCTTGGTATTTTCATATACGCCCCCTCAAACCCCGTCTCAGTAAAAATATACTATTTATATAAAAACCCAATACAAATCAAAACAAAAAGCACAAGAAAAGCTACCACCCCCAGCCCCAAAAGAAAAGAATACCAAGCACAAACAAAAAGAGTGAGTGAGTGAGTTAAGATTTTAAGTCACATCGGCAATATTTCAGCCATATCGTGACTAAAGCAAGTTATAAATATATCAACAATTTAAGTGAAATTGTAAAATTCTGCCAACGAAAGACAGTAAAATAACTAGATTATCACAGATATATATACAAACAAAAAGAGGTTGGGTATTATAGAATAAGATGCTAAGCGATCTACTCCCAAGCTCATCCGCAAGCAGGACAGAAGATGTCGAACACAATCTTACATACACATGTTTCCATACAATTAAACGAACAGGGCTTCCCAATTCGCCTGCAGAGTTACAGAGGTTGCAACGTTTGGCTTCAGTCTGAGATGTAGTAAAGACTTTCTTGGTTTAATCACGGTTACCTTTGACCTCTCTTCCCTCGACTATCTATTTCTTTGTAATTATATACAGAAACCTGATCTACCTACCTAATTGGGCTCCCAATATTACCCAAACACCCCAAATTCCCCCCAGTCTAATTGCCGCAGTGAGTCCTCGTCTCGTCTTCCAACGTTATGTTGTGATAAAGACACGTGACCTCACGAGAGTCACATGGTCCCAGGGCAAGATAATGAACCTTTGTTCTGACCAACATGGAAGACCTGGAGGTCAATGATATTATTTTCAAAGGAGAAGAAAGGAATATCAGCGCCATTTATTTTGAAAATACGAGTATGTAAACACACACAATCCTTGAAGGAAAAATATATGAGAAGTAGAAATCCGCCCTCCTGGCTAATTTATGTCAAGAGAGATCATGAGAAAGTCGGGATCGGAGACACTCAGGACAGCTGCTTTTGAAATTCAATTTGCTTTTTGATTTCGCGAACATAGTATTTGTCGATTTGAACATGTGCGTTTTTGACGTACTCTTCAGTGGAGCATAGAGTGGCGTTTGAAGAAGGGGGGTTGGTAGCGAATCCTGGTCATAGCTCCGCCTGGCGCCTGCAACACTGACCCAGAAAGAGCCTTTCCTAAACAGTGGGTCGGGTTTCATCGTCATATCACGGCAAGTAAACTCCAGCAGCTGATTTCTTCAAGACGTATGACTCGGGTCTCGCCAAGCGTCGCTCTGATAACGCAGAGTCATTACTACGAGGGCTGTGGTGACAGACAGACTTGGAAGGGCAGCGTCTGGAACGGCCGGCGGAATCGTGCAGGAGGGTCAAGGTGTTGAACGACGTTTGCACAACTGTTAGTGGAGACGACAGGTTTTATGTCTATTTTCATTTTTTATTACAGATTTAATTAAGCGTAACGACTGTGACAGTGTTCTGTGGGTCAAAAGGAAAACGACGCCGGAAATCAGATTTGTGAGCAACATCGGCAACGGTTGTGTAAATTGTGAAAAGCAACAAGTTGAAAAACCGATCTTCAAATGTTTGTTTTTGTAATTTCAGATTCATCCACATCGATTATCAATCAAGCAAAGCGCCGTTGTGTGATGACAATTCTGATGTGCTAATGCATGCAACGACGTAATTCACAACGTTTGTATACACGACAACGTCACTGTCAGAACCATCGGCGTCCAGGCTCCTCAACAACCGACACGCCCACTTTGCTCTGACGGAGGCGCGATAACCTACTACAGCGTCAGCGTCTTCTACGACAACGCTACAAATAGCCGGACAAACGCTAGAGACAGCAATAAGTGTCAGTGATTCGGCGACGGCAGCGGCAACATAAAAATACCAGGACAAGGTAGTTGCATTACCTGCGACAGTAGAAGACAGTGTTCTCGGAGGTGATAACGACATCTACACATACTATAGCAGTGACTACCGCTCCATCGGTGGCGACGTCGCAATAGCAACCTCATCGCACGATGGCGCATGCGTCCTATGGGAGAATTAACTCTAACTGTGAGTATGACAAATGCATGTCTGTCGTCCTGTCTGTCTGTACCTTCCGTCCTAATGTTCCCCGTCTATCTGAGATATCCTCTGCCAATTGTCGTCTGTTCCCCGTCTATCTGGAGATATCCTCCGCCAATCGTCGTCTGTTCCCAGTCTATCTGAGATATCCTCTGCCAATTGTCGTCTGTTCCCCGTCTATCTGGAGATATCCTCCGCCAATCGTCGTCTGTTCCCCGTCTATCTGGAGATATCCTCCGCCAATTGTCGTCTGTTCCCCGTCTATCTGGAGATATCCCCCGCCAATTGTCGTCTGTTCCCATCAGTTTGTTTGTTTCTTGTTTAACTCCGCACTCAGCAATATTCCACCTATATGGCGGTCAATCCTAAAGTATCTTCTGTTCAACTGTCGTCTGTTCACAGTCGATTTTGAGGTAACCTCCGTCCAATTGTCCAATCTTGATCTAGCCTCCAATCAACTGTAGTCATTTCCCTGTCTATCTTGAGGTAACCTCCGTCCAGTTGTCGTCTGTTCCCAACCAATCTTGAGGTATCCTCCATCCAACTGTCGTCTGTTCACAGTCTATATTGAGGCACCCCCCGTCCAACTGTCGTCCATATGCCACGATAGCATATGGTTATGTAATGCACTTTCGACACGGATTTCCGATTGTGAACAGTACACGTTTAATCCCAAATGTTCGTGCTTTCTCAGATGTATTTTGTTTATTATAGACCTGGCAAAGACGCGTTCCCCTTGAATCATTTTTTTAAACAAATAAACTTTTTCAATATATCAGTTTTACCACATTACATCAGAGTATTTCACAATACATATGACATGTCCCTCCATCTGTCTTTAATATATTCTCACGAGAAATTTGTTTCACATCACGTATCTTAAAAAATACAAAATGCCAATAACCCTTTATATTATATATGCATAGTCGAAAAGGCCATGGTTTATACTGACAGCTATATTCAGAATTTTCTTTGATCATGAGTTCCTATGTATCTTTGTAGTAACATATATGTTCAAGAGTCATGACGTATTTCATGCTTAATTAGTGATTAACGACCACACGAAAACTAAACTCAGAAGTGATGAAACTAAAGTTTTACAGCCAAAATATATAAAGTAACTTCCAATTAACAACGTTTTCACCAAACGACGTTTTAATCTCTTCAAATTAAAGCCCTTATTATAGCTTAAATATAAGAATATTATATCATCTGTTTGCTAAATTCATAAAAAGATGGTTTCCTTGACGACGGTGAGATATCCAATGGCTGGCGCACATTTGTCTGGGGCCAAGATTACATAACAGTGATTCCTTTTGTACAATACTTGATGTGCTTCAAAGCTCTCAAGATAAACTGTTTCCGACATGTTGAATACAAGACAACAACCGCGTGGCTCGCCTTACAAATAAACTTTAATCCTGGATGCCCGTGGGAAGTAGAGACAACATAAATATACTGCGCCTCCTGCTGGGCGAAATACCACAAATGTGATTGTTTGCACATGCGCGACAAGATTCTACATGGGGCATGCACACTGACAAAACAGCGGTTTTTTTATCACAACTGGGTTAGTTTCAACTTATTTGCTCTTACATGATCAAGAGTTCCTTATTACATATTAGCTGAAAAAATAAATGTAGTTTTCCCCGAGGCCTATTGTTGATAGTTTGGGCGTCAAAGTAGGGTACACGCCATAGCATTAGGGAAGGGTAGAGCTGTATGAAGTTAAGGGCAAGTTTTCATGTGCGTGAAATTAGCACTCATTGTTTGTGGGATTCAGTATTTTACGGCAGTTGGTAAACCGTTTTAACTATAAATACATAGTCCCGAGCTTCAGCTAGGCATTTTCAGTTTAAGACACTAGTACCTCCTATCATCATCATCATCATCATCATCATCATCATCATCATCATCATCATCACGCTTTTCGCTGCTCAGCATTATTTTTGTGTATCATGCTAAGTTCAGTCGTTCACGTCACATCAACTCTCGAGTGTTAAAAAAGGGGTTCGCTTTAATTAAAAGTTTTACTTGTTTGCATTTTAACATGTACAGTGAATTTAAAATTCACAAGCTATTGAGATAAATCATAAATCCCATTTCTGACAAGACTGTTACCGTAGAGACGTTCAGTTGTCCTTTGCCCCACATGGTGAACCCGCTCGGCCCTCTTCTCATAGGCACAATGCATCATATACACAAGAATACATGCAAAAATATTATAATAATTTTTAAAAAAAACATAAAATGAAATGAATGAAATAAATAAATGATATTTTAAAAACAAGAAAAATCAAATGAATACATTAAAAAAACTTCAATTAAAGATGATCTTATTTGAATGTTTTTGAAGAACAAATACACAAGTTGGAAATCTAGCAAACAAAACCAAAGCAAGAAACAAAAAGCTGTAAACGCATTAAATTCCACCGCGCCTGCCCGACCGTCAGGCCCAAAGCAAATTACAGTTAGATCAACGATTCTGCGGAGATAGTGTAGGTACTGGATAATGTCCACCTGTCTGCGGCCACTGTACTCAAAATCAACAATCTAAGTCAAGAGGATTGCTTGCATAACTATCCCATAATATACTGTGTTGTTAATTTTTTCTGATTCTGTAAATTTATATGTGGTTTTCATTATCTTGAATGTGCGGATAAGGTTAAACCGAATTCTCTGTGACATCCGCAGTGATATTTAACATTACATCTTCTTCATAGTAAAGCGCATGCGATATAACGGACTGTTTTAAGAGGAGTTCGTAACACGAAGGTTGTTTATAACACTAGTGTCTGTTTGTGTGTGTTGGTTCTTCAACGTCTCGCTCAACACCTATGGCGACAGCCTGTAAATAATCTAGCCTGGGTCTGACAATCTAGTGATTGATATCATGAACAACAGTTCACACTAGGGGGGTACTTTGACGCATAGTCACCCGCGAAGATCCGGGAACGGGTCCTCAGCAGCCCATGTTGTCGTAAGAGGTGACTACGAAATCAGGTGGTCAGGCTCGCTGACTTGGTTGACACATGTCACTGATGTGTAGATCGATGCTCGTGATGTAAATCACGGGATTGTCTGGTCCAGACTCGATTATTTACAGACCGCCGTCATATAGCTGGAATACTGCTGAATACGGCGTTAAGCAACAAAAGATCAAAGTCACCAAGAATTATCACCGGATCCTTCAAGTCGCCTTGAAGACCAACATGCGTTGCCAGGGACCAAGCCTGACTCGGAATTTCCTATTTATCGTCGGGCTTCAAGGAATACCCCGCAATATTACGACCCACATAATCTAAAGAATACATGAGAATCACCAGGTCTGTAGGTCAAGAGCTATACACTACATTAAGTACTTTAATTCAACACTGTTGAGCTAAGCGTTAATATCCGCCTTTCATTCAAACGATACGTACAAGTGTATGATTCAGATTTCAATTGCTGTAACAAACGCGAACGAGGTCAAATGGGTTAAAGACCGCATAGTGCTTGATTGGCGTGTGCTGACTGAACACTTCCAGGATGCAGTGATTACGGTCGTCCGTCTTCCTCAAACCCGTGCCTGCCGACTCGGTAGTGACCCGTCTGTAGAACGACACACCGTCTCCCGCTGGTGACACATGGCCATGATCAAGCGGCTCAATCGACCTCCTACCCCTAAATGGTCCGCTGATAAAAAAAATCTACGTCATATTCGTGCGAAAATGAAAAATACCGTTATAGATATATCGCATTGCTGAAAGTATTAAGAAGCGTTTATAACGGTTTCAACGTGATAATAACAGTAATTGTTCAGTTGGTTTGCAAGGCTGTTGTTTTTTACGTGCTTAAATGAAAATGCCAAACATTCTCGGTTCTAGATTGGTGTGAAGTTACGTTGTAAGGTAGCGTCGCTTCAAGGGGAGATAAGCTGAAGTGAACCGTGTCTCAATCACGTGACTTATGGGTATGGTTCATAGAGACAGTCAACACTCTTGGTTTCGATTAGCTGCTATCTTAAATAGGCTAGCCACCCACACCCATCCCAACCGTGATGTTTCAGCAACATGTTCTTTTCACAATATTTTCTTTGCTTTTTTAAAAAATAAAATTCTCAAAACACCAGGTGTGTACTTACTTTTGTACATCAGTTTAATTTTCAAGATTGGAGCGTAACAAAGGTCCGCACATCATCATGATAAAGTATACAACAAAAGTAATATTAATAAAACACGTTGTCTTCCGGATAATGACGCCAAAATATTCGTTTAAATTGTTCCCATGAATTTTGCTCCTTTTGTTTTGAACTGCCAAATATTAGAATAACGACTAAAACATAAACATTTCCATCACAGAAATTATAAGGGAGCCAAGTATGATACGTTTCTTTTTGGTTTTTCTAGCTAACACCTCATCCGGCAATATTCAATACAGTGGTCTGTATGTGATCGAGTTTGGGCTAGACAATCGTATGGAATACTGTAAGGGACATTCTCGCGATCTCGCATTCTCGCGATCTCGACCTTTGGAAACAAGCTAAAAATGCCAAAAGTGCGAGAATGCGAGATCGCGAAAATGTCCCTTACAGTATTCCATACAATCGTGAGCTGAGCATCAACCTAATTTAAAATTGGGATTGACATGCAACAATCAGTTCAGCGACCTTGACCTCTCTATCTCGTAGGTTTTGCGAAACACATAGGTTGCTGAAGCCGAATTCTAACCCTGGTCGTCATGGCGGACGAGTTCGTGATGACGACTGATTCTGCATGTTTTTATACGACGTCAAGGCATCATCCGACCCGTGGAGTTCCGGGTTAGAATCGGTCTTCAGTAACCCGGCAACGAACGGGACCGGGTAGTCAGGCTCGCTGACTTGGTTGACACATTTCATCGAATCCCATTTGCGTAGGTCGATGCTCATGCTGTTGATCACTGGATTGTCTGATCCAGACTCGGTTATTTATAAACCGCCTCCATACAGCTGGAATGTTTATATCTAA